TGCGGTGGTCAGGTCCCTATTTGTTACTCTAACTCACCATTTCCAATATCTGAAAAACTGCTCTCTCCCTCGTAAAACCTTGCCCACCAAGGTCCGCCCCATCCGGTCTTAGAGTCCTCCTTGATTCCTCTTTCTCTTATACCCCATATCTAATCTATCAGTAAATCCTAGCAGAGCTACCTTCAAAGTGTATCTGGAATCCCATGACTTCTTACCACCTGCCACCGTTCTGATTCAGATCCCTGTTCTCTCTCACCTAGTTAACATTATCTCCTAACTGGTCTTCCAGCCTCTGTCTTTGCCGCCATCTGCCTATTCTCAATGAGCACCCAAATCGATCCTTTCAGATGTGAGTCAGAAGTGTCATTCCCCTGCTCCATAGCCTCGTGACAATAGTCAGAGTCCCTTAATGGCTGTCGAGCTCCAGGCTTTCCCCAGCCTCACTCCTGCTGCTTCTGCCCTTTCCCCACTCCCATTCTCCCCTCACTCTCCCCACCTTAGCCTCTTTGCACTTCCCTGAACATTCAGGCACATTCCTGCCTCAGGGTTTTAGCACTTGTGCTTCCTTTGCCTGGAATGTTCTTCTTCCAGACAGGGGCACACCTTGCTCCATAACTTCATTCAAGTCTTTGCTCAAATGTCACTTTCTCAGAGGCCTTCTGTGATCATTCTATTTTAAAGCATACCCCCACCGACACTCTGTAATTTCCTTTCCTGCTTTATTTTTCTCCATAGCACTAGCACCTTCTAATATTATATATAGCTTACTTAAAAAAAATTCCGCCCCTCCTCCATTAGAATGTAAGTCCCATGAAGGCAGAAATTTTTTTATCTCTGAGGTTCATTTACATTTTCCTAGTGCTTTACCAGTGCCTAGCACATAGTGGATATCTAATAAATACTTGTTGACTGAGTGAATAAATAATATCTTTTAACCATTATTCAGTCAAATGTGTACTGATTGTCTGCTGTGCACATAGCACTGAGCCAAAGGATAACGCAGTAGCCACAGATCACCAGACAGCTCGGTTTATACTTTCTGGTACAGTCTCGTGAGATGAACACAGACCAAACTGGCCAGTAACAGGAGGCATCAAGGAAATACCAAGTGAATTATTTGTAAAGCTCTAGTTATACAGAGGCCACAGAGAAGATTGCTGCCTTTGGTAGACAATGGACAGGATGTTGAATTTGGCTTTGAATGACAAATAGTACTTGAATAGGCCAAGGGAAGGGCAGTGGTGAGGGCATTCCAGGCATGTGAACAGTATGAGCAAAGCCCTAGACACAGAAGGAGAAGGGATGTGTGTGTGTGTGTGTGTGTGTGTGTGTGTGTGTGTGTGTGTGTGTGTGTGTGTGTGGGGGGGGGGGAACAAAGGGATAGGATAGGCTAATTTCTCAGAATCAAAGGGAATAGGGCACTTCTAGTGGGCAAGTGAGACTGAGCCAGATTATGAAAGGTCTTAAATGGGAAACTAAACTTTTTGGCTGTTACATGGCAGATAGGAACCATTGAGGGGTTGATCTGTGTTTGGCTTCGTGTTTGGACAAAGGAATGTGGTGTGCATGGAGGTAATTTAGGAACGTTGTTCTGCCCACACTATGGCCATGGGAGATACTAGATGTAGGCAGCGTTAGGGGACTGCGGCAACTGCGTGACAGCTATCAGTGTGGAAGGGATAGTAGGAAAGAAGGGGTGGATGTGAGGGAATTTGCAAAGGATGACTTGATAGGACTTAATGATCTCATTATATAATTTTGAATTAATTACGTAGCAAGACAAAAAAATGACAATTGTTCAAAGCAGCGTCACAGCACAGATGTTATGTAGGATATTCTGTGGTTTGTCATGTGGATCCAATTCAGGCAGATTATAAGCCATGCCAAAACATGCAGACATTGGATGCTACAGTTGTACAGAATACTGCAAGGTGCAAACTTGAACACCATGGACTCACATAACTGATTCAACTTTGAACTGTCTCTGAACTGTCTCATGCTATTGTTTCCCTTAAGCCCTGGAATAAAAGGAAAATAGGAAAGTGGAATGTAAAACATTGCATTCTCTTTTTTTCACACATGTTTATACAATTAGGTTTAGTAACAAAATTTAGGTAAAATGAGAGTGATATTTGAATGGCTTTTGTGCATTATAATGACTTTCTGAAATCAAATTGGTATAAAAATAGAAGTGTTTGGTTTTATATCAGGGATGGTTTGCAAAACTAAATTCATAGTCTATGGTGCGTTTCGTTTGTCAGAGAATCAGAAGACGTGTGTATCATTGACATTCATGCTTTTGTGGTTGCTAGCTATCATTCACTTAGAAATTCATCAGAAAAACATCGATGATATAGTATTAGATTTAGATATGACTAAGTACCTGATTAAAGTATATGAATATCTACTAAGAAAAATTAAAGTAATTTAAAATCTAATATATTGCAGAA